GTGATCTGGAACCTTTCCTAACCATTCTGAGGGAGGATATCCTCACAGTTCCCCTTTTTAAAAAATTATAAGCAACTCCATTCACACAGTGTGATATTATTGTGGCAACTCCAAAAGCAGCCTTGCATAGGAACAATTCAACTCACTCTCTGATCCAAAGCAGAGAATTTTTCTGAGAGGCAAACAGTAATCTTTTCACCATATAGTATGAATCATTTCTGGAGAACAGGGGCTCAGGGGAGACATTATTGCTCTCTACAACTGACTGAAGGGCGGGTTGGACTCTTCTCCTGCATAACTAGCAACAGAACTAGAGGGAACGGCCTGAAGTTGTGCCAGGGAAGATTCAAAGGAGATTCAATGAGGTGCTGGAATGGGCTGCCCAGGGAAGTGGTTGAGTCATCATCCCTGGAGGTGGTCAGAAAACATTTAGATGCTGTACTGAGGAGCATGGTTTAACGTGGAAGTACTGTTAGTAGGTGGACGGTTGGACTGGATGATCTGGGAGGTCTTTTTCAACCTTAGTGATTTTAAGATTCTATGATCATAAAGAAAAGAAAGACATTATTTCGGTCTGGTAATTATTTAAGACTCTATTAATGATGAGTGCAGAAGGATGGAAAGATTGAACTCATTTCAAACGAGATTTATCAAATCTTTCTAATACTTTTAAAAGCAAACTGCCTTCACGTTGATGCACAGTATTTGTACATCTACTTTTGATCTTAACCAAGAGTTTTAAGACACTGTGGGGATTTGTTGTTTTAAATATGTTTACCCAGAATCACGTGGTAAAATTACATAAGAGCTGGGGAAAGGACCCTGAACAATATCTAGAAGCAGTGCATTTTGGTGCTGTTACCATCCACTTCATCAGTGTGTGAGTGACAACCCTCTCAGTTTGAAATGATGCTGCATTAGAACTCACCTGAAGGAAGGCAAAACCTGACCCAGTGGGGGGCAGCCCTGCCCATGGCAGGGTATTGAAACTACATCTTTAAGGTACATTCCAACCCAAGTCATTCTATGACTCTATGAAAACAGAGGTTGCATAGTAAAGGTCTTCAAGGAAGATGTTCTCAGATGCTTGACATGGCTGTAAACCTCAACCTTTTGCCTTATTTTTCCAGGCTTTCTCTTGGCCACCTTGAAAGACACCTTTATGAGCAGATAAGAAAGTCTGTCACCTTTACAACTCATTCTAGCTCACCTTGAACACATGGAATGCTTCAAATTGAATGTTGGGGCTTTTGTCTCGGAGCAAGTTCATCATCAGCTTCAGATTCTCTGGTTTGCTGATATATTTTGTCATGATGGCAAAGTTGTGTCTGTCTAGAATCAGTTCACCCAGCAGCTATAGAGAAAATTACACAATAAAAGAGCATTTTCCATTTAACATGTGATTTCTGAAAGGAAATAAAAGCAGCATACTTTAGTTTTTGTTTATATTAACTAGGGCTGTTAACGTAGTGAGTTACTTAATGCCCATCCTCCAAACTTTATGGTAGGGTTACCACACATGGACTGGATGTAATAGGAGCTGGTATGAGCCAGCTAGAAGAGAAGCAAGTACAGTGCAACTGTCCCACAAGGACACCCTTCATTTCAGTGAGATATTACAGGAACACACCTATGTGTTCCCATCTGCATTTCAGAGCTGCAGCAGCAATAGACAAACATGAACTATGATGTTACTCCCAATTCGTTTTAACTTATGTGCTGAATTGAAGTACAAAGGTCAGAGAAAAACAATGGTGCTTATTCCATACAAGAAGTCCAATGTTTCACCACAGATTCAGGAAATGAAATTCACAATAAGCTCTTGTGCACTGTATGAAGAGCATCCTCAAGCATTTCTTTTTTCGGTTGCTGTTGTTAGAAAGGACATGCTTACTTCCTTGCCACACATGCATTTTGATGCTTTGCATAACTTGGAATACAAATTTAGAAGGAAAGCACTAGGAAATCATACTTTACCTTCAAGGATTGTCTCTTTGTTACGTAATTCTCAGAATGAAGGAGTTTTTCATAATCCTCAAAGATCTAGACGAACAAGAAAACACAAATGCATTCACAGTTCATGTCCATCCTTCCTTCTCCCCATTCCTTCCTCCCGGTTCTTGCCACAGCAGAGGAGCAGCAGAAGTAGCAGCAGTGCCATCCTCTAACACTTCACTGCAATGCCAGGCCTGGCTCTTGCAGCCTTTTTTCTTTGTTTGCTATCACGTAGTGAATTAATGTCCAGCAATACTTATCTGCCAAATACCACAGAAAGTGATACCACACTGGATGTAAGAAGAGGTGGTTTGAGCCAGCTAGGACAGTATTCAGCCACTGCTTGCACAGCTTTCTTTTATGGGAGTGAATCTGTTGCTAGGACGCATGGGTCCAGCACAAATTACACCTACTCACTCATATCATGGTCATGACTTGCTCTGTGAATTAATAGGACATGCCAAGTTGGAGACAGCATATCCCAAACTGGCATGTGCCAAAAGCACTTCTGCAAGGTGCCACCTGCCTTCAACACCCCAACTCATTAAAGCAATTTGCAGACCAGGTTCATAAGGAGTAGGGTGCACACTGGCTTTTGCAGCATTGGGTCAAAGGAATCTTGTGCTCAAGAAGAATGGCAGTGCCACTGTACGTGCAAGTCATCAACCAACCAAACCAACCTGCTCCTGTCTGAGAAAAATCCTAATGACCTGTATTTCTACCTCCAATTTTAAATGTTCAGTAAGGACTGAATGGAAACTATTCCACTGTACTCCTTCAGTTCTAACAGAGAAAAGATTAGCAGATACCTAATTTTGTTCCAGTTGAGCTGCATTTATGACCCTGCAGTAATCAGCCTGATCTTTATTTAACCTTCTTGGTAACTCTAGAATGAAAGAAATAGTCTTTGTCCCTTTTCTTCTGGCAGCGAAATAAAGAATACCTAAGGTAACACAAGAACATAACCTGCAGTCTCATTCCTTTATCTGTATCTGACCAATTTGACTCCAGTGGAATTTTTCTGACCAACATTTGGTTCAGAACATAGACAAAAAGTCAAAGTGAAGAATGGCAACAAATCAAGGAATTAAATTACTTTGGATGATAAGACAAATAATGACATCTTAGTCCACCATTACGTGCATACTGCTTTCAGTCATGCAAAACCTTCTCCCAGTAACTCTTCTCTATCCCAAAATGACACCAGTATGATCCTATCAATTCTGGAATACCAAAAAATTGTTTAAAAACATAATTTTTTTTTTTCTCTATGCTCTACCTACTGACTAACTTTGCAGTTCAGTTTACCTATGAGGAGACAGAATGCAGAAATGAATAAATCTTTTTTTTTTTTTTTAAGCTATGAGCTCCTGTGAAATCTTGGCACCTGTCCCCTGTGTGTGTGAGCAACTTGGGTACCTGTATTTTAAATACCACATTTTGTAAAAGCAATGTTTAGTTTGCAATCCTGTTCCACTATTTTATGTGGAGCATGAAATCCTCCACTGGCGAAAATAGGCTTCTTTCAGCTAAGCATGAAGAGATTTTAAGAAGTTCTCCTATCATTTGTACTCACCGTATCATAATTTTGTTCCATAAAATCTGCTACCAACAACTTGTGCCTTGTTAACAAGTCCTGGAAAAGAACAGAAAAAGGCTACCTTGGAGAGTGTGCTTATTCAACCATCTCTTCATTCTCAAATGCACTTTAATATTCTGAACACATCATCTTCTACAAGCTGTCTCCAACACAATTTCCATAAACAAAGACCATTTAGAAACAATACTGCATGAAATTCAGTTGTACTGCTTCTACTAGGACCAGAAGGAGAATTCAATCAATGCTAACAGAATCAACACAAAGCTCTTCTAAAGCTCTTTATATTCCTTCTTCCTCTCATCTTTTGTTTTTTGTGGTCATTGTGTACGGTACTTTCAATAAGCTGGGGAGAAGGGAAGAAGAAAAGCAAACCAAATCTTTATGGAGGGATCAGCTTTCGTTCCATAACCAACAGTTATCTCCATTCTGCCCCACAACAGGAAGAGCATTTTCAGTTTGATCAACTGCTATTGCCATCTCCAAAAATGCAACAAGGCAGTCCCTAATTCAGCCACAGGATATACATATGAATCACAGAATCACAGAATTGTAGGGGTTGGAAGGGACCTCCAGAGATCACCGTGTCCAACCCCCAAATGATCTACTTAATATGATCTACTTAAAACCTAAAAGTTAGGCCCAGACCCACAGTAGCAATCCAGGCACTCAGGTAGGTGGGATGAGTTCCTTCTGTGGCTGTTATTCTGCCCAAGACATGCTTGGCAATAGCAGAGGCCTTCAGACAGCTGAAGCTGAATCCATCTCATTCCGAAAGGTGGATAACTAATTCAAATTTAAATTAAAGCAATCTCTTCCCCAGAATGGGGATGCTGGTGCTCAGCAACAGAGGCAAATGTTCAGCTCCAGAAGAAACTAAGTCTCTTTACTGGATGAATAGCTATCACTGAAATGACCAGTTTGAGGCACTGAAGTTTAATTTTTATCTTATTTCCTTTTCAAAAGCGTAACAGTGACCACAACAAATGCCTGATGAAGTCCATTGGAGCAGATGTTTTAGCTTGAAGAAGAGAAGGCTCTGGGGAGACCTCATTGTGGCCTTCCAGTACTTGAGGGGAAGAATATAAACAGGAGGGAGAACAACTGTTTACGAGGGTGGATAGTGATAGGACAAGGGAGAATGGCTTTAAACTGAGACAGGGGAGGTTTAGGTTAGATATTAGGAGGAAGTTTTTCACACAGAGGTGGTGGTGATGCACTGGAACAGGTTGCCCAAGGAGGCTGTGGATGCCCCATCCCTGGAGGCATTCAAGGCCAGGCTGGATGTGGCTCTGGGCAGCCTGGTCTGGTGGTTGGTGACCCTGCACATAGCAGGGAGTTGAAACTGGATGAGCATTGTGGTCCTTTTCAACCCAGGCCATTCTGTGATTCTATGTTTGTTTCAGTGAACCAGTTTCTGATATCTTTTCCATCAACTTTCCCTTGGTTTCCTTATCCAGTGACTGAAGCTGACGTAGATGCACCACCCACACCCTCTGCAGCATAACAAACAAAAGCAATCCTTTGCATACGAATCCTTTAAGTTGTTTTTGCCATCAATTATAAGAGGAAAACAGAGCACTATAAAACCCAGTACATTATTCTTATAAAATATTCCTCTGTTAAGCAAGATTGCAATGATGCCAGCTTAAAAGGCTGAACACAAGAAATGTGATTCAGAAGCTTTGATGCAGGCACTTAGGAAGCAAGTACAACATTTTTCAATAGGGGGCACAAATGGAATATAATCCAAAATGAGTTTCTCATAGGAAATCACAAGCTGTTTTCCTCTGCGTTTTGAGCAGCTCTACTTCCCCTCTGCCATGTACCTGGCTGAATTTCATTCAGAAGTACATCTCAACATCATTAAAAATTGCAATACTTTCCTACTATAAATACCCCCAAACTTTAACTCACATTTAACTAAATCCTCCTCTGGTGCACAGACTATTGAAGACTTTCAGCTCTCTATCAGACACCCTGACAGCACTACAAAGCCAATGTGGGAAACAGAACTGAGAGCACTGAGCTCAGCAATCCACCCAATAAGTGACTGTAGCACTGATTTTTACGCTATTAGAAATAAGGTAGCCCCACATTTCATGATTCAACTGCTTCCACATCACTTCTTTCTGTTCCAGTTATTTAGAGTAATGGTCAAATAGAAGGTGAGATGAGCAACTGGCTTATTTCCAGAACTGGGTCTCTCTCAGGTGCTAAAAGGTAATTTAAAACAAATTGCAGTTTACTGACTTGCTACAGGCATTTTAAGAGGTGATTTCTGACCTAACAACTGCCCTCATACTTCTCTCTCTTTCTAATGCACGTGAGGATGCAGAACCCTATTTTTAAACCTTGCTAAAAATATGCTTAGATCACAAGGGACAGAAATAAGTTCCACAGCTGCAGATCCATGAAGGATGACCAATCCCTCCTGCCTTGGGGGAATTGCAGCAGTCTCTAGTCCCTGTCTTAGCTTAACTGACCCGTGTCCACATCCCACCTCCTGCCTGGGGGGGCACAACAACAACACAACTTATTCAACAGCAGTTACCTTCTAATTGTTTTAAGGGGTTCTTTGAACTGGTCATCCTGCTGAACTCACGAACAAAACACTATTTCCACTGTGGAAATCTTCAATATATTCCGTCAGTTAGTGAAACTGAGGTCAGATCTCACTAGGTGGTAAATTGCCAAGATGACTTTCCTTACAGATACTCCTAAGTTAGGTCTATCTAATCATGTTTCTAATTAGCTTCGAGAGCAAAGAATGAACAACTTGTTTCTATGACAGCAAAGAACCCAATGACAGGGGGAAAAAGTTACGTCTATATTTAGATGATTTTTTTACCTGAAAAGAATTTTCTCTAGCTTAAGTTATTATTCAGAAATAAACCAATCTTCCCTGCATATTTTGCCCACAGGCACTAAATTGTGCTTAAAAACTGTATTAACTCTGTGCAGGAAAGATGATGGTCATATACAAATCCCACAAAATTTGGCAAGCTTCTCCCAGCTCCACTTTTAATACAAACACAGACTGGATATAGAATGTAGGTCACGTGGTCCCTGCATTCAGTGCTGCAGTGAAAGGCAAACCCTGCCTCCTGCTTTTGGTCCACTCCTGCTGCACTGAGGGGACTCACAGATTGTCCCCAGCAGCTTCACACCTGTCAGGAAGCCCCAGTGGGAAATGGCAGCTGGCCCTTGCTAGAGCTCCTTCACACTCCTGGGTACAATTAAGCTCTTTGTCACTTGCACATAAGAAGGTGGCAGTGTTTTAGTTGTGACTGGAAGAGCTCCATGAAGCCTCTCCTTTGATCTGCCTTTCCCAACTTTCAGCACAGCCGTTGTCAAAAGACAGAAGTCCCTACAGCACCACACAAACTTAGGGCCACTGTAACACCAAGGCCTTCCTCCAGCGCACGCCTCCATGACACTTTTACCTACTTGGCTCTCCTCAGTACAGTCCTTGCACTAACCCATGTGTCACAAATGTAATCATGCAAACATGTAAAAATAATTATCAGGGGCACAGCATTAGGCTAAGCTCAATTCTCAAGCTCACAAGGGTCAGCAACAATTAGAGGGTTTCAAAAGTGGATTTTAAATGATTCCTTCCATTGGCTGTTTGTGGTCATAATGGGTAGCAGTTTTAATTTGGGGAAGGTTAGGGAAGGAAGAAAGGCTATGCATTCCACAAGAACTCTATGTAATGCATGATTAACCTGAGTTTTAAATGGTTGCATTAAGGGCCTTGGGGCATCAAGATGAAGAACATTAGTGAAACATAAATCTGTGCAGACTTAATCACTGTTGTGAATCCTGTTACAAGCTCACCAAGGACTAATTATACTCCTTACTGAGCAATGAAAAATCCATTCAGTTTAAAGGCAATACGATATTCAACTATCACTACTGATGGAATGCCATTTTTGACACGACACTAAGATACAGGTATCAAATAAATTACCTTGAACGTAGCAAAGGCATCAGATGCTATATCAAACGTTGACATTTCCACATACTTGAAAAAGTCTCTGAACTGTTCTGAAAAAAGTATGATTTTGGCCAACGGTTCATGTCGGATGCACTCCCTCAGCATAATTCCACAGCGTAAGGCAATATTTGGGGATTCATAGCTGGAGAATTAAAGGAAATTAAGAAAAAAAAAGATCAAACAGAAGAACAAAAATGAACAGGCAATCTTACAGCACTAAGGAAACTTGTAGCATAGGATATATATGTGCCAGAGTGGATACAGCACACACACAGTCTTTCCCAATGAGAGTACTATGTCCAGCTTCAGGAGAGCAGCTCACAATGCAGTAACATACACACAAATAAGGCTCTCAGCACTCCCCATTACAAACCTCTGTCTTCACAAGCCAATGCAATTTCAGCATGAATGTGCATTACACCTCCTCTCCGTGAAGAGACTATAGAATGCATAAGGTTTCATCAGAATTCCTGCACTCCCTTGGATTTATGAGAAAGCAAAGCCCATTCAATATCATAATTTCCCTTTTCAGATGTAGTACTGAACTCCTCGGTTTATTAAAAAAAAAAAAAAAAAAAAAACAACAACCACATAACATCTCATGATGATCCATCAACTCCCACTTCTAGAGTGCATAATTCCAGAATATTAATGTCTAATAAGGAAGGTAGGAAGAGTTTCCAAAGACAGTGTGATTAAGCTTTTGCAGCCCTGAAGACCTTTCCTGCAGTTTAGGAGGAATTCTGCTTAACGCCCTCCCTCCCCCACACACACTACAGCAGAGGCTAAGGGTTTATGCAGGAGTTTGTGCCTCAAGTTACAATCCCACTATGGCACAGGCATCATCACAGAGAGGAGCTGGCACACTTCTCTTGGAAAGGCAGGCAGGGAGCCTAGGGTGGAAATTCAGATCATCTCCTCTCTATAGAAAGTCTTGATGTCTTTAACGCTGAAATTAACCCAAAACAAAACTGTTAGAAACAATTTAGAAGAAGAAAAAAAAAGAATGCAATCTAACAGTCATGAGAACTTAAAATGAACTTCTTCCAGCAATATTCAGTCACGTGAAAGTGACCAAGTCCAAGAGACAGAAAGCACACACTGTTTCAATAAGCTGGTTATACTACATCAGAGCTGTGTATTATCACACAGAGCTTATCAGCATCATTTTTCCTTTGCACAATTAATTCCTAGCACTAGGCCAAAAGGAACAAACAAACAAAAAAAGACAAAATGCCATCTGTGCTGTGAGTGAGTGGGCCCTCAAATTTACCACCAACATGCAATTTAAAAGAATTGTAGTGTTCTGAGAGCATACCAGAGCTGCATATTTCAACCTGATGTCAACAATAGTTAGCTTAATGAAAAATGAACTGCTATTCCAAAAAGGCAAATGAAACTTCCCACCCTCAAGTAGATGCAAAAGTCAAGCCCCTGCTTGTTTCCTTTTGGGGAGCATTTGCAACCCTGAACTTACAACGCTTTAGACAACACACTGGTTACTGCTTTCTGGTAAGGCACACCTCCCCTCTTACCCATTAGCAGGAATACTAATTTTGAAGCAGAAAGAGGCGGAGCTGCTCCTAGGAGTGCAGCCAGGAAAATATTTAATACTTGGCTAAGGAATATTATGGTTGGAATAAAAGCAAATTACATTGTTTCCAGCACAATAACTTTTTAAAACATGAGCATCAACAGAGTCATTCTTAGTCAAATGCTCCATTATCTACAGCTGGGTTATGGACCTTTGACTGCTCACATAAGCGAGGGAAGTTGGGCTTGGCTCCTGGAATATGCCTGGAAGAAGTTTACAGGCTGCCTGGTCACAACTAGCACGTTATCTGAACCCATATTTCCACGCAAGCCACCAGCTAGGAGTGACAGAGATGCTCTTCTAATGAGCAATTAGGACTGCATGCAGTTCTCCTTTGTTCAGCTGAACTTACAACCTGAAGAAATCCCCACATACTGGCTACAGAGGGCAACCAGAAAAAGAAATAATGGACTCGGGATATTTCAGAACATTTATTGCGGAGGCTGCAAGAGGCCAGTCTAAGAGCAGAGATGCATCTTGGTGCAAAGGGAATTCTACTAGTGCAGAAGATGGTACAAGGTATGGATGCACAATGAAATAAACCACAAATACAAGCCTGGAAGACTGAAGGTCAGGGCAAACAGCTCTATTCTTTTCTCCTTGCTAACTAACATAGCTTGAGCATGTCCTTAGAAAAAACTCAAGGGGAATTCAGCAACTCCAGGCAGTACACCAATATAACTTTAACTTCACTGTGATACGAAGAGATCATCACAAGTCAGGGCAGTGACTGAATACTTTAGAAATTGCATGTGACATGATAGTCACAGTCTTATACATTTCTAACTTGAGAGAAACAACAAAACAACAAAAGCAGAGCCATGAACTTCAAGTCTCCTATAGTCCTGTACTAAAAAGGGAAAATATTTTAACTTATAAAGGACCAAATTATTTCTAAGCTAGTGCAATACTCTGACACCAAAGAAAGACCTGGGTCAAATTATATATATCAGATACAAATTAAATACAAGTACAAATTGAATATATCAGATACTCTATACACCAAACATTACATTCATCTGAAATTAAGTTCTTTAAGTTCTAATTAAGTTCTTTACAGAGAGAGTGGTGAGGTGCTGGAACAGGCTGCCCAGAGAGGTTGTGGATGCCCCGTCCCTGGAGGTGTTCAAGGCCAGGTTGGATGGGGCCCTGGGCAGCCTGGTCTGGTATTAAATGTGGACGTTGGTGGCCCTGTGTGTGGCAGGGGGTTGGAGATTCATGATCCTTGAGGTCCCTTCCAACCCAGGCCATTCTGTGATTCTGTGAAAGTTCCTATTGATACACATACAGAAGATGCTATTAGCACAAGTCCTCATGCAGCAAAGTCAATTAACCTACCCCTCCCAAAAAACAGTAGTAAACTATGCACTACATGTTTTTCTGAAGCTGAGAATCTGGGAGGGAGTAACCAAGAAATAAAGCGAGGGCTAAAAAAAAGGTAGGAACAATCACCTCAAAGTGGCAGTGCCACGGGAGTATTGGGCAGGAAGTACTGGGAGGGAGCCCTGATTCAGGATCCTTCCCGCTCCACAGAGCTCACATTATGCAGTGAAAAAAGCAACCTTTTGTTGATACTCTTGTGAACTGACTGTCAGGGGGCAGAGGAAATTTTGCATCCAATACAAGCAAAACAATGACTAGCCTTCACAACAGTTCCAGGCTGTTTCTTCTACAGCCATGGTTGAAATATTTTTTTTTCCTCTCCAAACAATGTCTTATAACAAACATTAAATGGTACAAGCAAGCCAAATCTACTTTCCTTTCTTTTAAGTAGATTTAATGTATTCCACTTAGCATTAAATAAACATGAAAACACACCCTGAAGTAACACTGTCAAATGGCAATGCCTCCCATTAAGTATGTGTTTCCCAGTGTCACCATTGCCTGCATGCAGCAAGGCACACGCAGCGAGCCCTGCCCTTGTTTTAGGCGTGTATCTGAGGTGCCATTTTCAGACAGCCCTGGCAGTGGACCTGTGTGTGTTAGGTAAGACATCATCACACAGCTACTTCTCAGCTATCACCAGTGATCAATTGGGCCATCTTCTGAAAGAATCCAACAGCACTTTCTAATGAAAAATCTGAGAAATGGCGCTTCTGATACAGTGCAGTGCTGCAGAGAGACAGTCGAGATGTCAAGAAGGAGCCAGAGACCCAAACTAACACACCACACTTCAGTACGCATCTCTAAAGAGCACACAAATGCACCCGCTGGCTCAGGTCACCCACAGTGGAGTGTCTGTCAGCAGTACATATGTATAACAATTTTTTTTACTTTCATTTTAATATTCTTGGTTGCTACAGATGCCAAAGGATATCTGGGACACAATCCAAAAATATTTTCCAACTTGAAATAAAGCTGAGACATATGGTAGAGATGCACACATAATGTGCAAGAAGAAAATAAGTGAAAAAGAGAGGAGGAAATAAAAAAGACAAAGAGGGAAGAAAATGATTGCATCTCTATACGAAATTGAAAACAGTTGTACAACATAAATGTGACTGAGAGAATGATCATAGAGTTCTCAAATCATAGAATGGCTTCGGTTGGAAGGGACCTCAAGGACCATGAAGCTCCAACTCCCCTGCCACATGCAGGGCCACCAACCTCCACATTTAATACCAGACCAGGCTGCCCAGGGCCCCATCCAACCTGGCCTTGAACACCTCCAGGGACGGGGCATCCACAACCTCTCTGGGTAGCCTGTGCCAGCACCTCACCACTCTCTCTGTAAAGAACTTCCCCCTGACATCCAACCTAAATCTTCCCTCCCTCAACTTAAAACCATTTTCCCTTGTGCTGCTGTTATCTACCCTTGTCAAGAGTTGATTCCCTTCCTGTTTATAGGCTCCCTTTAGGTACTAGAAGGATCATCACTGTGATCATCACACTCCCGAAATAAACAGTGTGAGGTTTGTATAAATGTTGAATTTTAATGAGCAAATGAGACTAAACTCCGTTAATTATTCCTTTTCAAAGATGCTGGTGCTCAGTAATACAAAACAAGTCACAGTTTCAAAATCAAAGTGAAACCACAATTAATCACAACACTTGTATGAGCAAGACCTGGTTCAGAATAGTGACCTGCCCTGCCTGCCCCCCACCCTGCTGGTGGGAAAAGCAGCAGATCAGACCCGGACCTCTTGCTATCTCATCAAGTAAAACTTTTGACACCACCTTCAATGACAGGTTCAGCCTCCCTTAAATCCCTGATAGAAATTAGTTCACTTGATTACTTGTATTTTCCTACTCAGCTGCATTGGGCTGTTGCCAGTTTTGAAGCAAACAGCCAGTTTAGAGGGCTCATGCTGCAGACATGCCTGTTTCCCCTGACTCCAGGAAAGGCCAGGCTCACTTGTTCAGGTCTGCCCTTGGCAGAGGGGAAGGCCAGCTGGAAGGGATTTTACCCTTGGGGCTGCATTCTCGTTATGCTCAAATCTTAGATATGGCTCAAGTATTTTCTTCATACTGATCGTGGAGCAAACAGTAAAAATGCCAATCTTAAGCCTCAAGAGCAAGAAAGATATTTTTGAAAACAATCATTTTTCTAAGCACCATTAGCTTAAAAGGCCTGTAAAGCAGTTTTTGTATGGCTGTTACTGCCTCACCAAGATAACTGCTATGACAGCCTACATTGTTTCACAATGATCAGCTACTAAATGCACTTATTTCTGTATCAGCTCTTCAATCCACATCACATACATTCTCCTTTCCTCAGAGGAAAAGAAACAAAAATCTAAAGCCAGAAGTAAACCACAGAAAACAGTAGACTGTAAGGGTTGGAAAAGCAAAGATTCTTGCTAAATGGGAAGCACTGTTGGTCACTAAATGTTGGTCACACAGAGGGGACAAAAAACCTCAAGAGTTTTAGGCAGCTTGTGCATTCCTGAGCACAACTACAGCTGATGTCTTCTCCATGCTGCAGCCTACTCCCTCTCCTTGGCTGACTTACCTTGGGAACCACCACCTTATTACTCAGCACTTTACGACCACAGAGGTTACAAGAAAAAAAAAGATTTAATGCTGAAAGACGTGAAGTTAATTACCCAGTTAATTTAAAGTTGACATTCGCATGTGGCTACAAGCATTTGAGAAGCCTGCCCCACAGACACAACTATTCGTTTTATGCATTTTTGCTTCTTTGTGTTCTACCCCACGGTGGTCCAGCATATGACTCCAGTTATTCACAGACACCAGTATAATTCCCTCCTGCAGTGCAAGGCGGTCTAAATGAAATTCAGCAGTTGTCAACAATGCTAGTTTAGGGCAAGAACTGAAGTACACGTCACATGGTAAGCAATCAAAAACAAGCAGCACATAATTATTCCAACATGAAGTTTTAATGGCCGAATGAAATAATCCAGTCATTAAAAAGTAGACATTGAAGCAGAAAGTAAGTAAATATGAAAGAAACAAAACAAGAAATCTGGAACAAAATCTGAAAATCCTTGTTAGAAAATAAGTAAAAAAGTGAGAAAACAGATGAGCTGCAATGCCAGTATGTTCCAGGCAATGCTCTTTAACAGAAATTAAAGACAAATTAAAGCACCCACCCTTTCAGAAGCATGAATAGGATATGTGGATGGGCACTAATGTATTCCACAGTAGGGCTGCGTGTGCCAATTTGTCTTCTCAGGATGTTGTTAAATATCTGGGAAACATCCTTTTTACCCTGTTAAAGAAGAAAAACAATTCTTCAACTGTAGAAACATGAGCAAATGACCATTCACTATAATCTCTATTTAAAATGGAAATTAAATTTAAACAAAAACAGGCTTGTCTCCTTCTGGGGCTCTCCACAGTCACACCACATCACACTTGTTCTTTCTTCAGTGACAAGATTTCCTCCCTTGAGTGGCTCTTAAGATTACCAACCCCCCCACACACAGACTTGTACCTTTCTTTTCACTAAATGAAAATGTGTGCCCTCCTTATTCTGTTGAGCAACTCCTTGGCTTTCTCATATAGAAACACTAAATTCCAAAAAAGGCAAACAACTTCCTGAGCCAAACGTGCTTTTGCCTTGTGTACTATTGTTCCCCAGCCTCTAAATGTAAGCATCAAGCTAGTACACTAAGTACAACAAAACACAGTCTAGATTTACAAAGCCAAATCTTCCCACTATTTGAATGTCATCTTCACAAATATGAACATAGTTCTGAAAAACAGGATTATATTTAAAACTATACTTATTGTTTCACCATGAGGAATGAAATAACTGTACTGATAAAAAGGCTGTCACACATACCTCAGCTTCAGCTACAACTAATAGGAAAAGGATCCTTAATTTTGTCCTGCTTTTCTCCTGTATCTAGGCCTACACACATCTGTGCTGTCATCTTTTGTCTGTGAATACTTCTTGCACATAACTTTTCAGAAGACCCTTCCAAATTATGTTTTATTCACCTACACAGTTTGCCAGTCCATTGTAAGCAAGTCCTCTTCCTCCCCCACTGCTTTCTCCCATGGCTGCAAGAGACGATGGGAGAAACTAATAGAAGGGAAAGACTGCTGCACTAATGATCAGTAACCAAGGCACTGAGTAAACAGTGGGTCACTACGCACAGGGCAAGCCCAAGCAAAAGGTTACTTATAATCTCTACATGATCATTGATCTGTCTGGAGAGGACAAACATTCCTTGGCGAATAAATGATTGAACATCTTAAGCCAAGGCGCAGACAGTTTCACACAGAGGGAAATTCCCTGGTTTCACCTCTACAAATAAATCATTGCTGAGTAACACAAAATATTCTTTCCTACTAGTTCCAACCCAGCTGGTTTGGAGACTCGGGGACTCAGGGAATTAAACAAGAGGATCAAATCAGACAAGGCCAGTCCATCTGCCTTTGTCTGCAGCACTTTCAACCCCTGGACTCTCTTTCTGTTAAGCTAACTCTTTATAAAGATGCCACATTCTCCTCTTTCTTTACAACACCCATAAACGTATGTCTGGAATCCCATGATCCCCAGTGGCTTTAGCAGTTAATCCAAAATGAAAACAATTCAGAAAGAGAAGAGCTGTTGAAAGAGGAGAGAGAAAAATGGCCAAAAAATAAGCGATTCTCTCTGCTACACCAAATTTTCTATTAGTTACTTAATATTAGGTGTACATTACATCCAATAGCAGCATATTCTCCAGAGACCAGTGATCGTGAGAGAAGTTGGTCTCTCTGGATTCTTTTTAGAAAAATGGAGGCAGGGAGGAAACCAAGGCAGACTTCTCTCATCATCAGACAACCATAAAAATTGTAGGAATACTTCTGCAGTGCTTTTCACTTGGATCTGCAATTTGAGTTTGCCTTATAATGAAATACAACTGGAGCACACGATAAGGCAGCAGAGAGAGAAGGGCAGAACAACAACAAAAAAAAAACCCAAAAGATGCCATCATATAAGTAACAAACTGCATATATATATCTATGCACATATACACACATACATATACACACTGTAATTTTGCTCCTATCTCAAGATAAAGGGAAAACTTCCAATGTCACCAGTCTCCTTTATGGATTTTATAGCTTGTGAACCTTTAGGCTTTACATACAGTTAGTAACATAATTTTTTTAAAACTGACTCTTCTGGAATGCACAATTGCCTCAGTTCTTCAGCGTTCAACAATGAAGTTCACGTTCCAAATTTTCAAAGATAGAGTCTGATCTTGATCTTACTCAAACCCAACTTCAGTGATTCATTTCAGTATTATTAGCAATACTGTATGTATATTGTTTCTTGAGTGACAGAAGCAATAAACCTCCATTTTCAATAGATGCATGACAGAGATATGCAAGGACATGACAACATCCCCTAAGCATGTGTAGGCACCCCATACTTACTGCACTTACTGGCAGATGAAACAAGTGAAATCAGACTCCAGCAAAAGGCAGAGCACAAACTAAGTGGGAGTATTAACCCTGATCTGTCTCCTCTCAATAGCCATTGAGGTTCATCAAGTCTTCAAAGATTTCAAAGATAAGTACAAGTACACCTAAATTAAGCTCAAACTGACCAGTAGGTTCAACAATTTTGGAGACAGGAGGAAGAGAAAGGGAATCAAGACAAAATGAAGTAATTTATATAAAGATTATCACCTTCAGAAATCAGATTTTCAAGTAATTTATTACTTTGATTTCTACCATAACATACAGAGCAGAAAGCTAATTTGCATGTTCATAAGTGATGAAATTGACTGCTTAACAAAGAAACCTAAATGACAACTATGAACAAAAATATAAGAAAATGCAGGCAGAAAAGTTGAAAATCTAACAAGTTTATGGGGATGTGAAGACATCCAGTGTATGTAAAGCAGTATAGTGCTTTACAGCCTTCTTTTTCAAAGTCATTTATTTTCTACTGATTCCTGAATTATATTTTAATAGTTCTACTAAATGAACGAAAAAGCTTTATCATTTACAATAAACCTCAGTATTGTTTGTAATAACATCAATTCAACAACACATTTGATATTTCATTCATTGCTTGCATTTAAAGGTCGGGGATCCAATATCATAGAATCAATCACAGAATGGCTTGGGTTGGAAGGGACCTCAAAGCCCACCCAGTTCCAACCCCTGCAGTGGGCAGTGCCACCCATGGCCCCATCCAACCTGGCCTTGAGCACCTCCAGGGATGGGGCACCCACAGCTTCTCTGGGCAGCTGTGCCAGGGCCTCACTGCCCTCTGAGTAAAGAATTTCTGCCTAACATTGAACCCAAATCCCACCTCTTTTAGTTTAAAGCTATTCCTCCTTATCTTACCACTATCTGTCTGCGTAAAAAAATCAGTCTCCCTCCTGTTTATAAGCTCCCTTTTAAATACTGGAAGAAAACATGGTGACAGATTTTTTTTGTCCTAACAAAAGCAATACAGACTGTAAAGCAACTGAAAAAATCCAGTAGCTTCTCTTCTGACGTATACTTGCTAACACTATCTTCTTCTCTCTCTATTTTCTTAAAAAAAAGCATATAAATATAAAACATGTGTGATTTTTAGGGTAATGGTTTTATGATTTTTTTTTTTTTTTGTACTTAAGACATTTAATAGGGGGAGATGACAACTGAAAAGATCTGAAGAAATTCTAGCGTTAAAGTCTCCTGAATTCAAGATGGCAAGAGTTGAACTCCAGTAACAAGAACGCTTTCAAAAACTAATAGAAAATCTATCAGTCCCTTGAGTACTGGCTTTACTGGGGCCAGGAGGAAGTGGGGACAGAAGCAAACATAAATTCCACCATTCCTCCTTTTCATTCATTTCCAAAATGGAAAGGAAAGGAAAGAAACAACACGTGGCTTCAGTAATGAGAAAAATCTTCCACAAGAAAGAAAATCCCACAAAAGGTGACTTTGAGAGCATCAGGCAGTTTCTTCAGGGAGCCAACATTTAAATTCAGCAGCCACCCAACCCTGCACATTGGGTACTGGCTTCAGACCTAAACTGAAGAGGTTTGATTCTTAGGAACCATGGCTATCAATCCTGGGAAATCCTCAGACAATTCTAATGATTCTTCAGTGCCAGAGAACAGAAGCTGCAAGACTAATAACAGAAGCCCCTGGAGAACTGCATCCCAGCTGGCCTTAGACCACAGCAATACTGTAATGTCCTGTCAGTTATGAAGCTTCTTCCCAGTCCCCACCAGCTAAAGCTCAATTTAAAAGAGTTTATATTTATTCTGAATTGCAGTCATTTGTTTTACCAAAACTGTTTTTCTCCTTAATTATAGGGAACTGCAGTTAATTTAGTTCTGCTAAGTCCTTGACTTCAGAAACAAAACTGGCAATGAGTTCAATGGGCTATATAGTCAAATAATACTTATTTATATTAACTTTTCTGCTTGAAAGAGAACTACATTCATTTCTTCTTTAATCCAAAAAATTAAGTGGGAGCAATCCCATTTACTTTGCCACCTGCTGCCAGTTTTTAATACCTTTTTCAGCACCTTTCTTCTCAACTCAACCACCCTAATTTTTGAAGGTTTTTTTTCATAAGAGATTGTCCGAAGCTTACAATTATTTTCAGTCCTCATCACTGAATCCCTTCTAAATCGGATACATACTTCAGAGGTAGTGGTGGTTTGGGTTCCAAAGAAGTTAAACGCTGTGGCTTGCAAGATCATAAACGCTATTGTCAGCATCATTTCCTATCTTGTCTGGATGCACATTACAACATTTCTTGCATTTAAAAAAATAAAGAAGTAAATTAAAGGTACTGCACTTACTTCCAGTACACAAGCACTGCCACTATCCTGACTGATCTACTACAATTACCTCCTTCAGCACATGAAAAATGGTGCAATTATGAGTCAAGCGCAATAACATTTAGACTTTGAACATATACAGTTTTTATGACAGACAACACTGACATCAGGGAGATAAAAAGGTCTATATACACACTGACCTACCTCAAAATCTATGAGCTGCAGATTGGCAATAAGTGTCACTAGAAGGCCACTGTTGTACAATTCTTGTGCCAGCTGAGCCACTACTTCTGTTGGTGGTTCCTTGTCTGTAGTTCCACACAGAATTTCCTTCATTGCTTGCAGAGATTTTGACACTTCCTCTGACGCCTGTTGACCAACAGATAAGGTTAAAATGAGATGTGAGTTATAATGTCCATGGTTCAAAGGCAAACATCCATTTTTCACAGTGAGGTAGCTCTGCCCTCCCACCCTCCACCCTTTCCATCCTGGATACACAAAGACTCTTTGCAGTAAAGGCCTTATTTGTGTGTGTTTGCTTTAAATCCTACCTGCTCTAGCCATTGGGCTGTGCAGGCGGCAGCTCTTTCTGGGTCAGGGTATATTTAATACACTCACATCCAGCACATAGTGCACATATGAGGCTGACTGGATTTTTTTGTCCAGGCATGAGAAGTAAGTAAAGGAGAGGTCTGAAAGCAGAGATAGTGAAGGTTTCTGAAACTAGGACAGTATTTTACATCTATGCTGCAGAACACTGATTTGAAATGAGTGTTTCATTAGCTTAACAGGAAAAAAAAAATACATGAAGATGCACACAAAAAAAAACACCTCACCATCATTTGTAAAAGCCAACTGGACATGAATGGATGTTCGAATCCAGATCGATAATTTCAATATGCCTCTCACGTAAACCAAAAGGGAAAATGTCGTGCTTCCAAATGTCACCACATCAATCCACGTAACATAACCCCACAGTGCTCAGGAGAGACATCTCTCCAGTGCTGCTGATCACCCCACACTTCAATACTGATTTTATTCACATTAGGACAAAACAAGAAAAAGCCACCTTCACATCACATCAACCTGGATCATTCAAGCATCCATTTTGCACAGCATAAAGGCATGTTCTCTCCCAGTCCATTTGTAGCTATTCACAGTTTTCTGCTAGTTTAGACAGGCCAGCATGAGTGGCATGTAAATTAGTATGACTGTGATAACTTTAACCACAGCAGAAGTCTTTTTGTTCCTTATTGCAGCACAGTAAAAGAGCCTATTTTTATCTCAAATGTTAGTGGTATCTCACTAGAGATATCCCACAGAGTACAGATGGAATTAACAACAGGGGTGCTATCTTGTAAACTAAAGCTCTAAATCTTTATGAGAGCTGAGCAAGTATTTTCATATCGAAGGAAAACTCATACGTTTTTGGCTTTTCACCAGCTCTGCTTGGAAGGGTGTGAATATCTCTGGTGTTCTAGGGTTAGAAAAATTAATACCTTTCCTTTAAAGTATGAGTCTTTCCTAATCCATAGAAAACTGCCTGCAAGACTCAGCTTCACCTTTATTCTCAAAAAAAGAGGGCAAAAAAATAAAGTGCTGAAGGAGAAAGCAAAGACAGAACATGTAATGGTGATGGGCACAATGGCTCCCACAGCTGTATTTCTCTTAACATATCAGCTTTCCCACTCTCCCTCTTTGCTTTTATACATACAATTTATATTTTGTGTTTGACTTCCTCCCTCTATATCCTCCAGATATTCAGTGGTTTGACATTAAATCCTCTAACAAAAGTTATTCCTGGTCAAACATGAGGGCCACTCTTCTACTTCTAACCCTCATAATCAATCTGTAGGAAAAACATAATCCCAAACAGACATGTGAATTAACAGCCACTTCTAGTCTCCTCTTTGACATTTCTCCTTAATCTGATGGCATTTTTAGAATAATACCCTGTGTCAGTGATGGAAACGTGCATGAGATTCAGCAGAAAAAGTCATTCCAAGATCCAAAGATCCAAGATTTGTCCAAAACAAACAACAAAGCCAGACATATTCACTCAATACATGAAAAATAAAAGATAAAAGAAACATAGCTACAGAACTTTTCCTAAGAAGCCAGACAAACTTGAAATATAAGTCTTTGGATTAGTCTACTAACCTTACTGGACTACCTTATGTACAACAGCCTTAGAGATGGAGAACTGGTAGAACAGATAAGATTGCATCACCTTCCTAACTTAAATTATAAATGTGTTCAACCTCCCTTATTTATAAAGTTGTGATTTTGTCAGCACTAATCAAGAGTTTCAACAGTGAAACCTAGAAACTTGATAGACAGGAGATTCTTGGTCTTAAGCTTGCTTTCCTGGTAGAACAAAATCTTGTCATTGCCACTCAATAGGATCATAACACAAAGAAAGTAGTCCACGAAGAAACTGTTTGCTGAAATTCTGTGTGAAAAAATCCTTCCTTATGTCCTCAAGACTTTCTCTCTTTTCTCCAACTTAATATAAACCTGAAGACCAGCTGACTTTGTAGCAGAGATTCACTCTTCATTTCACTGTGGGTAACACTGCTACGTCTGTGCAGAAATATTTCAGTATTTTAGCATTATGAAGCATTTTGATCTTCCTACCCCACAGAGCAAATACTAGATTCTTCCATTTACCTCACTTTGCCAGGTCTAAACGACAATGTCTTTGTTTTATTGAGTCTCTTGGATTGATCTCTACAGGAGGGCCAAAGCGCATACCAATGTTCTTAGGATAGCAATTTAACAGGCTTAAAACAGCTGGGAATGGTGCCTAAACAGTTACATTTTTTCTCTGTATTCCAGAGCTATACAAGACTGTGCAATAAGAAGTGTCTTGTTTTTTTCATTAAGGGATTACAAAGAAATCCTAAAGGTCTTAAAATTCTGTTCTTGAAAAATCTTCCAAACATGGAAGGTTACAACAAAGGTCTTATCTGTTGTCCATGCAGAAAACTGGAACTGTTATTTCTGTAACTACACTGCTTTGGGTTTTCTATATCCAAACAGTAAGCTACCTTATTTGCAACACTGCTTGTGCATGATATAGCAAAACAAAGCAAATCTTCTGCTTCAGAAATAAACAATCCATAAGGGCAGTTTTTGAAAAAAAAAAAAAAAAAACCATTGCAGATCACTGTTTTAACTAGAGTCAGTAACTTCAACCACTTTAATTTCCAGACTTCCAATAGGCTTAATAAAAATTATCTCTAATTAGAAACCTTTCCTTCTTCTAGCTACTTAGATCAATTACATGTTTATCTTAAAAAGGCCATTTGTAACCCAGACCTATTACACTTGTCTAAGAGGCAGACAGGTGAATCTCCTGTTAAACGATGTAGATTCATTACATCTTTTTACTCTCCTTCAAGGAAGACTACAAAAAAACTTAAGGAAAAAAATGTATCAGGCTATGAATTAATTGACAGCCTGAGTTCTTCCACCTGAACTGCAACTTTCAGAGCTTTCAATGGCTTCTCTTGCCTCTGTGCCACCTCTGTTTTACAGACAGGTTGGAGATTGCATACATATGTTCCAGGTCAGAATGGCTTATTCTTATCTTCTATTCATCCAGAGATTCAGAGATTCAACGTAACATTTATGACCAACTGTAATGATAAGAAAAAAAAAAGATCCCATGAATTTTTTCTACCCTTCCAAACCCAGATAGAACACATATGAAAGCAAAATATGCCATTTGACATATGCATAGTGATTAGGAAATTCCCAATTGTCCACAAAACACAGCAAATAGGATCTTAGAGCTTCTATTTGCCTACCTAGCACATTTCCAGGGCAAAAACTGCTTTCCTAACCTGTTGCAGTCTTACACAGCAGCACACAGGAACATGAAGACACCTGACAATGTGATATGAGATATTACCATGTGCCACTCAGTAAGCTTCCAGTATTCCATGACAAAAATCAGAATCAAAAGCGTAAGGCCCCTAGGTTTAGTTCTGTCTCCTTTACTTTACAGCTACGTTAAAAAATACTCTCAATGAATGTATCAAAATAGTTTTTCCTTAATAGTGACACAACTCTCTCTAAATGCAACTCCTAAGAAGAACCATTAGTAGAATTTGAATCCAAAATTGAAATCCTAAGGAACATCTCAACTGACTTATTCTTGGTGCAGTTTCATGCTAAAAGGAACAAATTGTGGATTTCAGCAGAATGTTTTGGAAAACAGAACTCTTAACATTTAGCCAAATATTATGGCCTATTACCCAAGGAGGTTGGCAAGGACAATCTAGCAAAGCAGGCACAATAATTAAACTTCTAAAATGCAGTACGATTACCTGGAAGAGATAGAACTGCCCCACCTGGACATAAATTCCTTTCCCACTATTAATCCTGCACTCAAGACAGAAGCAAAGATTGTAAGATGCTTAAAAATGGAAAAGCAACCAGGAGTGACAAGCTTCAAACACTTGGCACCAGTACCTGATAATATCTGGAGTCTCTCCCACCTCTAGAGCAATAACAGGTCTCAGCAGAACTGGGAGGCTGAAACAGGAAACTTTCCACAAAATCCCTGGGCATGTGAGTTTTGTGCAGTTAGAAGGAAGGGGTGCCAAACCCTTCTTATTTTATTCGCTTGGTTTCAGTGTATAGCAATGAAGTCAAAGGTAATTTTGCAACTGACTTTGGCAGCAGCAGAATTGAGTCCACAGGTATCAGCATTCACAATAGTCACACAAGCATTCTTCCATGAAAATGCACATCCTGTCCTCTGCATGTACTTCATCTTACATAGAGGACCCCAGTTGCTCCAACCGTGCAGGAGCAAGGTGAATAGGGTCTGATAAAGGCTTCATTGGTGCTAAGCAAGAAAGCAAGATTTATTATTAAAAAGAAAATTATGGAAATCCTAAAGACTTTTAATTGCAGCTTTATTAAAATGCTGCTCTCCTGACCCTTCCGAACAGTACTAAATGTGTTACAGCAGACCAAGATGAAACAGAGGTCCGATTACAGTAACCTACCTGAACAAGCAGCTTTGTTGGAATATGTAAGAGAAAGGGGAAGAAGTTAGATGCTTTGAGTTACTTTACATCTACCTTAAGTATAGTTTGAACACCAGTTGAAGATGCTGCAGCCTGTGATTCTGTCTGTCAGAAAAACACTCCACATGAAGCCCGTATCGGCTCTGTCATGGTTTTGGGTTCCATGACAAACTTAAGGTTTGGACCAGGCTCTGCCAAAACCTGCAAATCTTTCAGCCCATCCAGGCCAAGCACAGAGACAGCTTAGGCCAAGCTGCACCCAACCCAACCTCCTTTTGGTATTTTCAATTAAAAGCATGGGGCACTCTGAAAAGCTTTTGTTGCACCATGGGTTCAGAAATGTTACCAAACCTGTAGGCTCCACAGATGGCACTGAGTCACGGGTGCCACACCCCAGCATGTTTGATTAGCAGTAGGAGGGTGATGATCTCAAGGATGTGCCTCGGGGACATATCATGTGCATCCTGAACTGCTTTGTGCTGACCAGACCCCGTGGCTTCAAGGAGACAGGATGTCACTTCCTTTCTTTGTGAGATGGGTCAGGCATCCGTTCCACCAATGTAATTTTACAATATCCATCCACAAAACACACAGTGGTATCACTGGTCATAAACGAACCAGCACAACAACTACATGACACGCTGTGTTTCCTCAGGCTCAATGAATCTCCTGCCCACTGTATTGCTCCTGGGGTTTCTCTTCCATTCTCTCCATTTATGCATATCCTCTGGGAGGTACAAAAGTCTGCACCAGAAAGCAGGAAGAGGTGCTCTGAAGGCTTTCTTTCCTACACTGTTAAAAATTTCCTTTTCTATTCAATTCCTGAATTAGTATTACTCATTAAATATAAGCTAATTTTGGTTCTACACGACTGAGATTAACTTTTATAGAATTCTGTAGTAAAATATAATTAATTGTTCCTCGCCACAGAGCCCACATATGATCCCAGCAACTGCACATGTCACAAGAACCCTCTTATTTATTGTGGATGTTGGCAAGGAGGAGGATGCTTGATAAGGAAGCCTTTAGTTCACTTTCCAGCTGTCTTACTCTACTTAATCCTGTAATTCTTACATCCATTTTTCCAGTGCTGCAGTATCTTCTTTTAAGTAGACATTATTTTTTAAAAATGAGACAGAAAAAGAAGGTGTTAGAGCACTTCAGAAGAAGAGGAACCACGTGTGGTAGCAATTCTCAACCTGTGCTCTATCAGCCTTCAGAACATAGCTTAGAAAATGGCAAGGCTTTAAACTCACATGCACGCAAACAAAACCAAAACATTTCCATAAAATAATAAGGACTTAGCATTCAATCTTAGTCTGTTTTTCTGTTGGAAATGTTTAAAAAGCTTTAAGGCAGCCCTGTACCCACTAATGGTTTTATATATACATACATACACATGTAGAGGAACTGGGTCAAATTCAATCCTTATCTAAGAAAGACAGATGCTAGTGCAGTCAATTTTTCGTCAAAGCCTGAATGGGCCCCATTCTAAGACTAACAAGAAGTACTAAAAAAGAGTGAAAACTTCTGCACATCATGCATCCATGGAACTGTGTCTCACAGAAGATGTACACTTGCCTTTATACCTAAAAGTGACTTCCCTTCATCCTATCTATCAAGCTGTATCTTCTCTCTTCCTGCCATTTATTGAAATTAGTCTTCACTGATTTGTTGTAAAAGTCCCACTACCAGCATGCTGCTTAGTTTGAAAGGAATTGTCATTTTTGTATCACTTAAAAGTAGCCTCTCTGAAGCCCAGATGACTTCTGCTAAATGTTGCAGGAACCTGCATCCAAACTGTCAAATTTGCACTGCCCCAGCTGTCCATTTGCATCTCGTACCTAAGATTCTCAGCTCGGGAAAGGAAATGAGGAAGATCTCCCTCAGGTTTGCAGTTATTCAGGCTTTGTCACTCTTCTCTGCCAACTCTGAGTGTATTAGCAGCTTTTAGCTGTCTCAGCCCACATGTCACATTTGCTGTACTACAATGACAGCTAAACTGTCACAAGATAAACCTTGTTTAAGCATCTGAGGCAAGTTCCAGTTGGAAGGGATTTCACAAGCACACAAAATCAGAGATACTGTCAGGGGTGCTCTTACAAGTCCTGGGAACCTCAATTTTACAACCAGATACAATAGCTGTCCAGTTCACATGACTCATAAGGAGACAGAAATCTGAAAGAAATGAAGGAGTCCTGACCCACAAACATCTACACTCAGTGGCCCACAGGGTCCAAAACTCTTGGGCAGCTCTGGGAAATCAACCATCCGTGGCTCTTGAAGGAGACAGTCCTCTGGACCCTTACATGAAAGTGTAAGACATTTTATCTCCCTTTGGAACACTAATCAGAGGTAAATTTCTATATCTTGCAAGTCTCTGCATAGTGCAATACTGTACTTTATCTTCCCTTGCTTTTTTCATTAAATTTCTATAATCACATGAAGAAACAACGCGTTATTCATTAGTATAGTCTGAGCAAATTTCAAGAACTTCTGCATCAATGAAGGTGCCACCATTACCTTCTCTCCTTCAATTCAAAACACAACCAACATTCAGACACAAGTCTACTGAGCCCACAAAGCCTGTATATTTAAGAGACACGATGGTGACTGCTTCAGCAAGAAATATTCTCCTTACGCATTTTAAACTCATCACTTTCACAGGTACTGAAGATAATTCCACATGATTTACCTTTCTGAACTCAGGACCATTAACCAGGCTTCTTTCTTCAGCAGGCAGGATGGATGGGGCCCTGGGCAACCTGACTTAGCACCAGATCTGGAGGTTGATGGCCCTGCCTGTGGCACAGGGTTTGGAACTGAAGATCCTTGGGGTCCCTTCCAACCCAAGCCATTCTATGATTCTATGATTCTATTTCAGAGCAGCACAATGCAACACTTCAGATGAATGACAGCACTACTTATCTTCTCCTCCAAAGTGAGAAAGGCCCTTTGTGTTTCCTCTGTGTCTGAGTGCAAGGTCCTGATTCAACAAGCCATGTAAGCACATGTGTAAATGCTGTCCAATACAGTGCTGCTTCCTTGACTTTCTGCCTTGATGCTGAAGGGATTGCTTTGTCCTCTTTCCGTCTCTTCCTCAGTAACTCTCATTAACCTCATTTACAACAGCAACAGCCTCCATACAAAAATGATAAACTATGTCAGAGAGTACTGAAATGTAGCCTCCTTCCCTGATAACCTAGAGAAAAATGATGTGTGCACAGCATGGGGGGGAGACATGGACAGCCTCCCATCCTGGCCGTGTGCAGTCACATGCAAAGGCACAACAAGGTGGTAAGGCATGCAGGCTGAAAACAGCGTGGACTTGTGAATTAGGATAGTCCACATCAATATAATTCACAGAATTCACAGTTGAGGAGAGTCTGCCAGATTAGGGTTTTCAGACTTTTTTAAATGGCCTATCTGTATTCCATTCAATCAAATGTAGAATAGGCCACCGTTGTCAGTAAACTCTCAAGCTGTTTCCATCCTAATCAGCTGGGGAAAATCTCCCATATCTTTTGCTTTGCAAGGAAAACATACACCAGCTGTTAGGACTTCAATGAACAATTTACACTGAGTTCTCCAATTTCTAAGAAGTCTGAATTTCTGCTACTTTGTCACTGACACCCAAATAAACAAAACAGCTCAAAGCCAAAAATCCTCAAAACCACAACTTGGAGGAATCATGCTGCAAAGTAAACAAACAACAACAACAACAAAACAAGCCTAGAGTTTCTGCTTTAAATGACTGCTTTAATCAGGTTCTGAAGGATGAAGTCAGGTGGGGAGCACAAACGCTGCTGACTTATTTATTTAAGTTTTAGTTCAAATTCTCTTAGTGCTTTACAGTTAACTGAAGATATTTCAGTTTGAGACATCAAATACCAGAGGCCTCACTGAAATTCATGACTGATATTACATAATTAGCATACTGAGCTTTGAACCAAAAAGTTTCCAGAGAATTTTGGTTGGATGCAATGGCAACTGTGCTTACCTTTTGGTTTAGTTCATTCTAATGCAAACTCCTGCTCAAAGTGGGAGAACCACCATGTGCAAATACAATACTTAGCTGCAAAAGAACTGTTAATTCTGCCACTCAGTTCTAACCTGAAATTAGGATGTTGTTAATTAAAATCATTTTCTATGTTGTTGTGTGACTTCTCAACTAGTTGCCGCAAGAGCGGTGAAAGTAACTCAAGTCAGTGTCACAGAGTTAAAGGAGAACAATAATATTAGCAAAAATCTAGCATTACAATTAGAACATGAAATAGCAGAGCATGTTTAGGAAACATACACCAAAGTTTAGAAAAGCCTGATACAGTGAGACTGCACAGATATGCAAATACAGACAGGTTTGATGCTTTTTATGAACGACATTTATCAGAAGTAAGTTTTGCCCTCTGGGTAGCTACACATTAACTGGCACTCTCATTTGTTTTTCCCTAAGACCAATTAATAGCAGAATAGCTTTTAAATAGTCTTTTATGCTGTTTTGCTAGATTCCTATTAAAAGTAGTAGATCAACCCTCATTTTGGATAAGGCTCCTGGACCTCAACATTTTCTTTCTGACCCCTAGACAAGGAAGAAATTCTTTACTGTGAAGGTGGTGAGAACTGGAACAGTGCCCAGAGAGGCTGTGGATGCCCCTTCCCTGGAAGCATTCAAGGCCAGGCTGGATGGGGCTGTGAGCAACCTGGTCTAGAGGGAGGTGTCCCTGCCTACAGCAGGGGGTTGGAACTAAATGATCTTAAAGGTCCCTTCCAACCTAAACCATTCTATGATTCTATTCTATGATTCTATCTGTTGTCCTTTAGTTAGCAAAAGCCCAGTGATTTTAGTAGAGCTGTTCAAACATAAAGCTACTTACGCGTGCAAGTGCTTATGGAACCAGGGCAGTGAGTGAACACAAATTCACTCTCTTGATTGTGCTGCTTCCCCACCATTAAAACCTTATCAGTCTTCTACAACATTACCTCATACCTTGTCTGTTTTTTTTTCTTGTTTTTCCAATATGGCCATGTTTTCCTTCAGAATTTTCACAATCTCAGCAGGATTTTTGTGCGATTTACTAAACAAAGGCATGGTTTTTTTTCTTCACCTGGATTTCTTCTTTCAGTGTAGAAGAGGAATGCCTAAATCAAATGAGAAAAAATAGTTTTTAAGGTCTCTACAAAAATGCAATAAAAATACAAAAAGACATTATGAACAAGAGAGGGTTATGCCTCAGGCACTGTATTCTACTTCAGCTAAGCACTAGAAATTCTCACATACACTTGATTTGAAGTTCATCAGAAATTGAACAGCCTCTGTCAGTGTGTGGAAAGCAGCAACTCAGCACCTGTACAGAAGCTGGATACTTCCTAAAGCTTCAAACATACACTTCAGTGCCTCAGTTCCATCTATATGCATACATCAAACATTTTATCGACAGTGAGTGCCTTGCAGGTTCCACTAAATTTCTGATGTTGGTTTCACATAAATTTTACCAGTTCTGCTGTGATGCAGAGTAACTAACTTTAGACTCCTGCATGCCAAAAGCATCCTTTGTTTAAAACAGTGCACAAGAAAGACCCAGCTTATCAGCCATCCCTCATCCTTTTCCAGCTGCTTTTCTTTTTTAGTCTAGACGGTCTTGTTATGACTTAGCTAACTCCTTGAGTCTGACAGACTTCAAGAATCCATCAGAGCCTGTGGATCAGATCTCCCTTATGTAAAAACACTGCATGAATTAAACCCAAAACAGAGTATTAGGCCTAAATGTGGACACAAATGTTTTCATGACATTTAAATGAAAGATTGAGCATTTCAGTGAAAATAAGTTTGCTTGTTTAATTTAAGACATTCCTTCTCTGTATGGCTGGAAAGGCAAATACCAAGTCACTGTATTTATACATGAAAGAAACCAAGTAGCTTAGTTTGTGATCCTATAAACCATTAAGTTGCAAACTCCCATGGATTTTACTGAGAGTCTGATACAAAGACCTACTGAAGTCAACAGAAAGACTAAAGATGGGAATGTACTCTTGTTAAGGCAAGTAACATTTTACAGGGAGAGTACTGCACAACTCTGCATCCCAGTTGTACAACACAGAGAGGAAAAAAACAAGAAAAAAAAAAAAAAGAAAAAATGTTGAGTATTTTTCATCTCTTTCCACAACAGAAGACAACCAGCATCACCAACCCTCCGCACACATATTTAACACATTAGCACAACACAAATATATAAACAAATCACTTCCACTTCCCTGTTCCTTCTCAAATCATACAATTAAAAAAAAAAAAAAAAGCTTTATACAAGATGTTTTAAAGGGGAGAATTAAATGAGGGCAATGTATGACATAAAAATCATAATAGCTGTCATATAGTCATGCTTTTCCCCCCATAGTCCCAACCAACACCCCTCATGTTTTGTTGTTACTGCTGAAAAACTTCAGAGTCCCCCAGGAAGTATGATCCCTCTTGTGGCACACATCCCTGTGCTAATAACTCCAAAAGACCCTATGGAACTAATGCCCAGGTTACATATATGTTGTATTATAAATATAAATAGCAATCACATAAGTTGCCAAGGACAAAATTAAAAAGAGAGAGGAATATTTTAAAAAACCAAACCAAACAAAAAAAAGCAGCGATTCAGATTCTGTCCTAACATCTTATTAAAAACATTTCAAAATATTTGCAGATTATCTTTACAAGAACAGTTCCTATGACACAAAGGAAACATTTAAACCAAAAGTTCCTTAATAATGTCAAGAGTAGATGAATTTGTAGATAGCTTCTCACTTGTTGCTAGGTCAATTTTACAGCAATATTTTCACGTTCAAGTTCTGAAAGCTCTCCTCCTTCAGATTTCCACTTACAAGCTCCTCATGGCTTGGTTCAAATTAATTTTCATTTCTGCATTTTTGGCCACATAACCTTCAATACTTGGCTGAGCTCTCAACGAAGGAGTCAAAATGAGCGCTCAGCGCTGCTCCCATGGAGCTCAAAACTGTGATTTTTGGCAGCACCCTCTGACTAGCAACAGAACAGAGTCACACCTCAACTTGCCAACGTGCAAGACTGAATACTGGGTATACTCATGACTAACTCATTTGGGAATGCTCAGCTATACACAAGCACTGGAAAAGGCTGGGCCTCTCATCACTTAGCTTACTTCATCTTGCAGGCAAAGGCAGTATTATACAACACATTTGTTTGAAAGCTGCTCGCAAGCACCAAGCGCCCTGTAACCTCACACATTGTGCAATTAGCTTAGTACTTCAGAACGCACAGAAGGGACCAGTTCTGCATATTTTTATTACCTGTGAAAACAAAGCATGAGGTTGTGAAGATCTGAGAGAGACATTCGGTGATCAAAACCTTAACTGGCAGGATGCATTTTAGAAAAAATACCATCAAGGTGTGGTAGGGTTGCTCAGACTGCCACAGGCATTTTTTCATCTTCCCCTTTTAGAGGTCACTACACAAGGAAAAGCAAAGGGGGGGATAATTTGATTTTTACATTGAAGCAGTCACGAGTGAAAAATTATGAGTCTTAAAAAATAAATCTACTTTCCTAAGTGACATATTGCTGTGAGCTACAGTGCCTCCTCCAAAGAACTCACTTACATAGCTGTCTAGAGTATATTGTATGTAAATAATCATTCATTTTGCTACAGTCCAGTAACTCAGCTAGCACTTTTCCTCTCTACAGTTTGTCTTATCACTGAGATGCCACAGCACTGCTGAGTGATAAGTGAGCATTTCTCTTCACTTCATACCCTACCACTGTTCTGATCACAATGGCAAAAACTGCTGATAATGTGGCAGGAAGGGACTCAAGAGACTGTTTAGCTCATCCTCCTTCTGAGCAGAGACAAGTCTCTGTTTCACTTCATTTATCAGTCTTACACACAAAGCAAAGCATCCACTGTATATGGAAGGAAATATGGAGGGGAAAAAAAAAAAAGGAATAATGGCCATTAAAAGAGTCCCAAGAGAGCATCAGAGACCTCTCTTAGCCTTAGGAAATATTTTTTAACCCATCAGCATCTGGAAATAGACGATCCGTCACCGATACTGGCAACTGCAAGTTACAATTGCATTCAAGATCCTCTTGTTTTTCCCCATTGGAGTGTCCTAGGGGGCATACACTATTCACAGATACAGACAGAAGCAAGAGGTGGTAAAATCACTTTGCCAAGATTTGGAAGTTGTACCACTTAGTCCTAGCACCTACTATTCCATGGGGAACACTGCAAAACAAGACTCCCTTAATTCAGGTTTGTTTCTCCTCAGTGGATTCTCTAGCACCTACAAAAGAATGAGCTCTGGCTAAGGCTGTATCCACAGCTGCAACGCTTCTGCCCTGTCCTCTTTCTATCAGCTCTCTGCTCTTTAACCTTTAACTTGAAGCTTTTTTCTTCAGCAGAAGCACTAATCTGGTTTAAATTCCCTATTCACTTCATGACTTACTTTCACTTTGCTTTTTTCAGAACTCAGTATTTTCAAGATATCTAGCCCTCTGTTAAAGTTGCTTGAAACTGGTTTGTAAGTTCAGAAGTTGCTGTGGGAAGAGAAGTAGGATGAGAGACGGACGGTGTGACTGCGAAAAGCTTTGTTTCTTAAAGCAATCAGTCTGAAAATAATTGAAATACAAAGATGAATGAGAACCAAAAAGAATGCAGTACAGGCTTATCAGAGGTAGCTCATTCTATAATCTCTCATTAATGAAGTGCAAGGCAAAGAAAATACAGCAGATCCCACACGTCTGACATGAAAGGATATAAAATTAAACGTTGAAAAAATAAACTAGCCAAAGAAAAATTACCATGTAAGTGGAGACTGATCCTCTGAGACGGCAAGAGCAATTTTGCAAGAGGACCTTATTTAGAGAGGCACAGGAATTGAGGCCCTACCAAAAAACTCTGATGACTAAATAGGAAGACACCATCAATACCAAAGAGGACTGGAATACCACTGCTGAGAAACCTGACAGCCTGTAGGATTGGAAAAATAAAAATGGAATAAAAAATAAAAGTAGCAAGTGTCAGTCAACATACAACAGAAGGACAGATGAATATCTGCTTCAAGATGTCTATCCTGAGAAGTGACTGGTCACCACATTTGCATTTTACAGGTAAGATAAAGACAAGTACAAATTTGTGATGAATTAAAAAGTAATCTCCAGTAGAAATTCAAAGGCATTCATGCTTTCGTACAAAGTTTTGACGAAACCTCATGTGAAATACCATACACAAGTGATCATCCAAGCCAAATAAAACCAGAGTAAGCTTAGAAGAAAAATACAGGGAAGAAATTATTTCTGCCAAAATAATAATAATAATGTAATATTTGTACACAAGCAAATGGCTGTAAACTGCCAATGAGCAAACTGAAGCTAAAAATGCATAGGTTTCTAACCATTGGAGCTTTGAGATTTTGAAATAACTTACTTCAACAGGCACACTACAGAGCATCTGTTCATAAATTTTTGACACTGTTGTCTGGCAGCAAGGGACAGAGCTGAATGAGCCCCTTTCTTTCCTACTTTCTAGGAAAACATTTTCCATCTAATGGTTATTCAGCAGCATATGTTTTTATAACATCAAAAATGCATTGTAGTCATTTCTGAATTCCTAATAGGGGAAAGCCAACTTATAAAATATCAGTTGGGATGATGTTTCATCAGGACACTTGTGAGAAGCTTACAAGGTGAACCAAAGAAACCTCAGGTGTCTCACCAGCCTGACACTCAGAGCCTTTGACAGCACCTCTCCCATTCACAGGGGAAATGCCCTGGCAGCACCACATAAGGAATTTTGGTTTCCAAAGTCCACAGTTGCCATCAGTACAAACAGAACATTACAGCCTTCAGTGCTGGGGAGTCCAATACTTTCTATGAACCTTACCTGTACGTAAATACTTTAAAGGAGTGCTTGTTTGCGGAGGGGGGGGAAATGTGATTTCATTTTAGATAAGTAAAAGAAACACCAAAAGACAATTTTAAAGCAACACTTTCTACACATCTAGCTGTATCTGTTCAAGTCTGAAAAAAACAGAAGTATTTCACATAGTCCAAAGGAGTAAATTGAATCCAGAGGCACATGAGGTTTACAAGAAGTGAGCTCTAAGGACATCCGGTAGCCTGACAGAGATAACATCCCTTTATACTCAGAACATGCCTTCCCTCAGAGGCCTCCAACTCTGCAAATACTTAATTAAGATGGAAAACACTCTTCCAAAAATGCTGTGTGAATATTGTTACTCCTCTCTCTCTGCAAAGGGAGAAGCTGAAGCACAGAACAATGAGAACGCTTACCCAAGTCCACATTAAAAAAAAAAAAAAGACAAAATAAGTGGCTGTGCCAGGAACACAACCTAGATCATTTAACACTAAAGCCTATGATTTTTTTTTTTACCAGTCTTCAAAATCTCTCTTCTGCCAGTTTATCTGCTCACAAAGGGAATGCCATAGAAAATAAAATCAATGCAACTCGAGCTCTTCGATACAGCTATGAAGCACACTATGAGATCTAGTTGTTTCCAGGCACACTCCCCAAGTTCTTTGCTCTTTATCGTATACCTTCTTAAAACATTACAGCACAGCTGATCTTGTAGGAAAATGAAGGAAAAATGCAGGCAGCAACACCACTCTACTCATCAACCAATCCCACTATAATGTGGCTCAGTTCAGTAGTTCAAAAACAAACACCTCCTGCCCACAAAGGCAAGAATGAGAGCATGTGATCCCATCAGTGCATTCTTCTCAGATGTTCCTCTGGACAAGCAATTTGCTATCCAACAATGAATGAGTGAATAATTTCCCTCCCCTCTAGTGTCTCACATTGCCCTTTTCTTAGTTCCTAACTTTCAACTACTTATTTATCAGAATAAAAAGCATTTCAGTAAGTTAGTATGAGTGAGACCTTCTTCTTTGGAAATAAAGGCTTTCATTTTCCATTCATATCAATGTGCCTTGAAGCCATATATTTTAGGCCCAAATTAGCACACTTGCTTGGTAATTTTGCCCAGTCAGTCTCTGTATAATGAAAGAGATACTTTATTCTCCCTTCATGTCTCCCTCCAACAATATTTCTGAAGGTTGTTGCAATTAGAGTCAGGAACTCAAACCAGGAAACAGAAGACTTCTGATCACCTTGACAAGTCTGCACAGTCCTCTCACATGATCCCTGCTACATTTGGCAGGCATAAGGAAACAGACCTACACAAGTAACTTCTCTTGAAAATCCTCAACAAGTTTGTTTTTTTTTTTTGCAAAGGACACTGCAGGTCAGAGAATGGATTAAAAGACAAGAGGACAGTTAGGAGGATAGGCTGAATTAATGCTACCTGCTTTCAACAAAATTATTCTGAAAATGCAGACATTTGAATGAGCCTTATTCTGTTGGTTACTTGCTGCATTTCCAGTCTTGAAAGTTCCTGCCTGGTACAAGGGTGAATGAAACTTTATCTGAAACACACAAAAACTTGCAGTAACGCCATTCAGAGGGACCTAATGAGGTTCAACACAGCAAAGCTGAAGGTTTTGCACTTGGGCCGGAGGAATCCCAGGCATACAGACTGGAAGGAGCATTCCTTGAGAGCAGCCCTGCAGAGAAGGACCTGAGGGTCCTGATGGATGAAAAACTCAACATGAGCCAGCAGTGTGCTCTTGCAGCTCGGAAGGTAAATGGTATCCTGGACTCCATCAGAAGAAGGGTGGCCAGCAGGGACAGGGAGTTGATTGTCCCTCCCTGCCCTGCTCTTGTGAGGCCCCATCTGGAATACTGTGTCCAGGACTGGAGCCCCCAATACAAGAAAGACAGAGAGCTGTTGGAGAGGGTCCAAAAGAGAGCCATGAAGATGATTGGAGTACCTCCCCTATGAAGACAGGCTGAGGAAGCTGGGCTTGTTCAGCCTGGAGAGGAAAAGGCTGTGGGGTGACCTCATTGCAGCCTTCCAGTACCTAAAGGGAGCCTACAAACAGGAGGGGAATCAACTCTTGACAAGGGTAGATACCAGCAGAACAAGGGGAAATGGTTTCAAGTAGAGGGAGGGAAGATCTAGGTTGGATGTCAGGAGTAAGTTCTTTACAGAGAGAGTGGTGAGGTGCTGGAACAGGCTGCCCAAAGAGGTTGTGGATGCCCCGTCCCTGGAGGTGTTCACGGCAAGGCTGGATGGGCTCTGGGCAGCCTGGTCTGGTGCTAAATGTGGAGGTTGGAGGCCCTGCCTGTGGTGGGAGAGTTGGAGCTTGATGATCCTTGAGGTCCCTTCAACCCAGGCCATTCTGTGATTCTGTAATGCTTACTACTTCTGCCACAAACACCTTTTTTTAACAGATGGTAAGCATTGTAAAGATCATAGAGGATAGCTAGACAGGTCTGCCCTTAATGTGCCTAACCGTATAGAATAATCATAGAATAATATCAGTAATATCACGTAGTTGTTCAGTAGTATGAAACTGAAGGTTCTCATGGTGATGCTCCACTGCAATGCTGTGATACAGCTCTGCAGAAGCAATCAAAGAAAGCAGAATTTAATTTTCAGTTGAATATTTGAATGCCCATTCAATGAAGAACAAAAAAAACCACAATACAGTCTTTCAAACACTGAATGGCTGTCAGGTCATTGAGGCTGCAGTTTGATAAGCCTTTTGTTCCATGACAGTGCCATGCTACTCCATGCCTACTCACAGCTTTACACCACCACCTCTCCTGGACTGGTGTTGCTGTTTGCTGGGCCACGTGGTGAGGGAACATGCCAGGGAACAAAAAATAGCCTGGTGTGGAAAAAAAAAAAGTCAGAATGGGTTTCCAGTCACTTTCTCCACAGTCTTACAAGGACTTCAGTCAGGACAAGAGGGGAAAATGGGGACAGAAGGGGTACAGGTGGACAGAGGTGCTGAAGCAGCCACTGTAGCTCAGATGTTCATCAGCCAAACTTTTCGAGTTTTTGACTTTGCTGACTAGTGTCCTTTTATTGCAACAAATTTTGTGCTAACAGACATATTATTATAAAATATTTGTTATAAAATAATGCTTTTGCACACCTATGCCAGGTAACATCCAGGTTCTAAAACCATGCAAAAACTGCATCCACACTCATACCCTCAGCCATTCTTGTATCACACAGACCCTCCCACTCATGCTAACAGGCATGATCAGAATTATCAGGTTATTATTTTACACTGAATAAAACTAGAAAGATAAGATACCAGTAAATTTTAAAGCCACAATAACCAATAATTAGATAATAATATTTGGGATCCCTTTTTCCATTAGTCAACATGAAATCTTTCAAACCTAAAACATTAAGAATGCAAGCCTGTGCCTAACTAAATACAGTCTATAGCAAAAGTCCCACAAGCTCAGTTCTGCAGAAGGGAATCAACTTATGTTTCTGAGGTACATACAATTCTAAGATAACAGCCCTTAACAGCTTTTCACTTACTTAAAGAGAAATCAGGTTAAATTTCCATTTCTAGTAATAATAACTCTAGGAATAATGAATACTGGTAACATAATTCAAATAACATAGGCAGCGACCGAGAGGGAACAGGACTTCCTCTAAATCCATCAGTGAGGAGTATTAATGCTACTTTTCTTTTTGTTCAGTATTACTGAGTTACCCCTCTACACAGCATTAACTTGACCACGTCTTCAGCAAGCCTGATGTGCTACTTTAGTAGCTTCAGAATGTATGAAAATAATTCACTGTAGCAGTAATTTCACTTTATCGCAGTAATTATTCCAAGACAAACTATTTGTTCATAAAAATTCCATTACGCTCAATGGAAGTTCTGCCTCACTAAAAACCTCCCCACAAACAGCCCATTTCATGAAATTAGAATTTCAGGTTGACATGACCTATTGGCTATAAATAGCAAGATGGCCGATTTACATATGCAGTTTCTTGTGACAATTCACACACACGCTCATCTTACATTCATCCCTAGCAGCTCCTGAGTTTCTTATGCAAGTGGCTGTGCTCTCATTCCTCTGCATCTCGGGAGCGAGTTCGCAGCTGCAGGCAGTCGGCAGAGAGGAGCAAGAGCAATGATATATTGCAGATATTTTATTTTTGGAAACCACACTGTAAATACACCCATTTCCAGAGATATTCCATGGACACAGAGGGTTTGGTCACCGAGCCAGTCCCTTATGTAACAGAAGGCGCATTGTTTAGGATTGCCTTATTTTAAAAGCCACTCCTGGTAACGCAGTTTACAAAGCTATAAAAAGCGAACGGCGTAACTATAGAGAATAAATAAATGAGCAGTTTATTAGGAAGACGCTATTTCTAACTAGAAAAAGAAAGTTCTGTCCAATTACTGAACTTCATGCGATTCGAAGGAGATGATGTCGGCCGGTACTTACTGCGTGCAGAAGGGTCCAGGCGTGCCTAGGCAGCGCAGCGCAGCACCATGGCGAGGTGCTGAAGACAGCTCTCTGCCAGCATGGCCAGCCAGGGGGGCTTTCAGTTATCTCCCATGTAATGTCAGCTTCTCCTTCTTGACACGTGGAGAGGAAAGCAGATTCCGGAATTCAGCCTCTCGCTCTCCTTCCGCGGAGCAACTGTTACCCTCTGGAAAAGCGTGAGCAGCAATGAGCGCCTGAGCCTGCACGCACGCACACACACTCACACACACACGCGCGCACTCAGAGCAGCTGTAAATTTCCACTCCCCTTTCCCTGCAGCCAGACTCTGCCGTGTGCCAGGGGCAGTTCTGCCTCGGCTCTGAGTAGCCCCGCGGCTGGCTGTGCGATGTTCCCACCGCCCTCCCCGCTTCCCACTCCCTCGCTCTCGCCTTTCTCATGGGCTCGCTCCCCCCTTTGCCTCCCTCCACGTCAGAGGATCGCGTGTAAAGCGAAAGAACACGGATGGAGCTCCGCTGAGAGATCCTCCTCGGGTTAAAGGAAGAGATGCAACAAATTTCACATCGTTGCTGTAAGTTTCCATTCCCCTCCCAAGTCTCCCGGTGCACGGGGGGCAGCTCTGACGATCCTCGCCCCAATCACGTGGCAGCGGCTGCTGCAATTAAATTATTCACCTTGCTTTCCTGCTGAGAATGCAAATAAGGGCACCCAACAATGGTTTGTTTTGACAAGACAAAGACAAAACCAACACGCTAACGCATGACATCTTTCAGGAGAAGGAGTCCTGCCCAGAGGAGCTGAAGTTACTGCTCTTTCCTGCCGGTTCTGTTTCTAACATGAAGATCAGAAACGTTTTTCTCAAAACACTGCGGAGGAAAAAAAATAAATCTGCAGTACATTCTAAACAAAACTTCAGTCTCACGGAGAAACACATTAGCTTAAAGCGTCTTTACAAGGGCTAAAGTGACAGGGAAAAAAAACCCATGCAATTAAAATATTCTGCAATAGTCACTACCAGCTATTATCGAGCAAGCTAATAGAGCAGAATGCAATTAAGGGGATTTTTAATGCTGCATTCTTCTTTCTCAGCAGCTACTCCCCAGCAAGTGCCACATACATCAGGGCAGCCTGAGCTAGTGGTTGGCAGCCCTGCCCATGGTACAAGGCTGGAACTGGCTGGGCTTTAAGGTCCCTTCCAACTCAAGCCAGCCTATGGTTCTACATCCAGAGGGAGGTGTGAGTGGCTGTCTGAAGCCATATCAAGAGCAGGGGAAGGAAAAATCTTTACCAGGCACCACTAGCACTGTAGGATACTGAAATCCATCCTCATACAGATCTTGGCCAAGCCCTGGCATGGATGCGAACTGGGCGTGCATTTATGCTGAGAACAGCAGCCTGGGAGGAGATTTTACCTCCTGGGCACCTCCTGTCTCCTGCTTCTTAGAACTAGGGGCAACTAAAGTTCCACATTATTCAAAATAATTCTGTATGTTACAACATTCGCTTGAGGAAACTACTCTCAGCCCTGCTGCACACCAGCATTAGACAGATGCATTTAGGGCTCACCTCTGGTTGCTATTCACAGCCCTACATTACAGACAACAACAAAATAAGTATGAAAAACACCTTGGAGAGGTGTTTCGTAGGAGTACAGCCGAAATATTCACCTTTTAAAGGGCAAACATCTTTTGCTCACCATCCCAGTTCCTAAGCAAGGCAAAAAGAAGTAGTGAAAATCTCCCCTTTGAAGAGGAAAGGATCGGCAGCATGCCTGGCTTCAATCATTCTGCTATTTTAAGCACAGAGAGGCAGCAGTCCCTGAACCTCACAGCATACTTCTGCATTTGCACAGGAGGCACTGAGCCATCTCCAGAGCAGCAGATCTGTGCTCCTATCTGTAAAGCGTGTTGTGATTTGTGCCTGTGCTTTACAAAACACATCATCAGAACATGTCATTCCTGTGCTTTTCGACTGCCATCAGCGGTACTGGGAATGAATTAGTGCTGCTCCTTCTGCACCCAAAAGTACTGCAACAGGTGACACCAAGTGGCAACGGTTGTTCTCAGCCAGTCCTGTGAATTACTGGTGAAATATTTTCTTAAGTGGTATTGACTGTTTTTTTTTTTTTTAATCTTGATATCACAGCATTTGAGTAAATGTCATAGGTGGATTCAAATGGTGAGAAGTCTGCCCTGTGGCTACTACTGAAGGTACTGGCTTTCCCTACAAACACACACAAATATGAACATGTTATATCATTAGTTTCCACTGGGTAGTTTTCTTTTTAAGAGAATTCTTTTTTTTCCCCATCTGAACTCTCCCTAGGGAAATTATATCTCACGTACATTACATTCATCATTTCAACAAATAAAAAGATACCCCTCTGTTACCCCTTGGAGCTCAGTGTTGGTGGATATGGATACTAACCTGAAACTGCATGAGTAACCTCAAAAAAATGTTATAGTTGCACATTAAGGGACCCAACTGAATAAATGGTATTTCACAACGTTAACAAAAGTATTCACAGCACATTCTGACTGAGAAATGCTCTATAAGCATAAAAACATCTATAAAACTATTACCTGTTTCAGACTACGTGCGTCAGTTTTCATGGTTCCAAGGAGTAAGTTGAACGTGCACTCAATTTACAGTTCAGCTCTGATGGGTTTATAGCTCAGGAAATACGTTTTGACTTTCCTAGGAGCTCTCTATGTGCAGGGAGAGGAGGAAACTTGTCATGCCCCCATTCCTGTGTTGTAGTCAAAAGACTGTTCAGAGGAGTGCAGCTAGTGGGGCTCGTGGAGCAACTTTCTCTGTTTTTCCAATCTTTGTTTCATCATCAGTGCAGTTAATTCTCAGACGACAAGAAAAGGTCCTGCACCATCCTCAATAAATCAAGCCATAATTACTTATGCTCTTACCTGTTCTCTTTTTTTTTTTTTTGCCAAGAGGTTATTAAATATTTCAAAAGAAATAGTGTTTTCTTCAATTCTTAATTTGTAGCCATCTCGAGTAGAAGGATGATGTAATTATGAATAGTCAACAATTCTTCCTAGTCCAAAAAGTACACTGAAAAAAAAGTCTATGCACTGGTAAAGGATCCCAGCCTCCACATAATTAAATTCCATTATACTTGTTTCCCTTAAAGTGATGAGAGACCTCAGGCTAATACACAGAGAACTTCTGAGAAATGTTTGTCCTTGTTTTCTTAAATTATGCCATCTAATAAAGACCAAAGAGGGAAGAAACAAAAGGCATTCCATTATTCCTACCCTTTATTTTCTAAAATTGGAAAGAGAAATTAAGGAGCTTGAACTATGAGTGTGGTAGCAATAAATTACAGAGGCAGATGACAAACATGCAGTACATGTATATTAATTCTGCCCATTTAATCACCCACTTACAGTTTGTCTACCTCCTCCAAGATTACTTCCAGCATTCCAAAGCCCTAAGAAGCCTCAGATAACAACCAGAAAAATGTCCTTCCTTCCCCCAGAAACGCTCAGTGCCAAGGCCCTGGGCAATCAAAATTCAATTCTACACAGCAACAAGTTGTATAATAGCAGATATCAAGAAGTGAATCCCTAAAATACTAAAAAGTGGTATAGGGAACCTGCTTTGGCAGGGGGGTTGGACTCGATGATCTCTGGAGGTCCCTTCCAACCCCTACAATTCTGTGATACTGTGAAAAGTTTCTGACCTTAATTCATGCCTACTTCTCTTACCTTTACTGAATTGGTATATTTTAGAAGTTGTATATTTTCAGACTTGTGTAAGACAGCCATGTCTTCAATTTCATAAAGTCCTCTACTACAGATGCAACTAATTAATGAGGAAATACATAATTGGTTACACCACTCAAAACATAGTGCTCCTTATTTCATTACTGCTGTAACAATTTATACTTTTTAATATTCAGTTTAATTGTATGATTCTGAACATGTTCCAGAGTGTATAATTGACAGAAATGTATATTAAAAACATTATATAAATATTACAATCTTCCTTTGTAAATCCTGGGGTATCAGAGAGGAGAACAAAATAAGAAATATTTCCCTTACTTTCCTTCAAATTATAGGAATATAAGAAACTAAGTAAAGTCCAGAATTAGGGTTTTTTTTTTCCTCTCTCTATATAAATATATATATTTACCCCCCCCCCTTTTTTTTTTTTTTAAACAGGAACATACCATTGTCAGTTACACTCTTCAGATGTGAAGTCAAGCACTCAAAACCCACATTGCAAATATCTTAATGCTCATGAAAAGCATTCTGCAATCAGTAAGGGTATCAATAATGGAAGTTCTGTATTGACAGGAAGAACAATGCTTAGTACTAAAATCTCATGATATTGTCAGCCCAGAAATTATTTGAAAAGAGAATCCCTAAAATACTAAAAAGATTAAAACCCCCAAAACTAAAGGAACCCACCCAACAGGATTTCTTCCTACTCTTACAGAGCCCAGGAAATTGAAATTATGGCAGTTTATCAGGTGTGGAGTGAGGGGACTAAAACAAATCACTTTCATTGTTTATCTGCCCTATGGAGACATCACGCTTCAAAGCACTCAGCTTTACAACAAAACAATACAAAAAGTGTGTTGAGTGACATTTCTAAAATCCCACAAAATGAGAGATTTTACAGTAACTTTGTGCTTTGGTATTCTAATACAAGCCTGCAGATGCTCATTTTCCCCCAAACCCCCATAATGTGACCATTCTACACTGATGCCACTAAAGCTCTTCATCATCTACAGTATATCTCCAGCATGCACATACCTGCACTGAAAAACAACTTAACACGTGCCTACTCACTCAAACACAAAAGAAGGTAAAAAGGGGTACGATACATGGAGAGGTAGGTCTTTTTTCCTACACCCACCTAAAAGGCAGCCAAGCTTCTGGCCTCTCTCAGAGCTAGAAAACTGAGATCTCTGAACTGAATGTGTGAGAACAGAGTAGTGACCTGCAGTTGTGTTGTAGATGAAGGAAGCAGTAAGGATTAAATGGATGGTTCTGTGCAAGCTGCTCCTAAAAATGCAAATATGTCTTCAATGCTTCCCCCTCTTCTTCCTCTAGGCTCCCTCTAGTGATCCTAAACACGCACTGCCTTCTCTTCCTTAATGCCAGGAGATGCAGTTACTGAAGGTAAGTATTTTTCTGCTCTGCTTCAGTTTTTAAAAACCAGCACTAACTCTTATAAACTGCTGTTAAGTTCCCCTGAATTTATTATTCCCAAGTTCTTCACTCCAGCATCACACATCAACACTGACCTTTCTACCAGAAATCACAAACATTTATGTAAGAAATACTTCAGGTATCTAATTTTAAAGCCATCTATCAGCTCTGTCCTTTCAAGTAGATTAAAACAGCTACAGTGAA